TAAAAATTGTCATAGATGTGTTTCAGTTATAAGAATAAAAAACAAAATAAGTTTAATAGTTCAAAGTTATGAAGAAATTATCAAAAAATTGCATGCACATGGCAAGATTGTGTGCATTTTGCTTATAAGTGTCTATTGATTTGTTGACTCGTACCAAATCCATGAATTTTGTCAGGCTTGTAAAAACCACTTGTACACCCTTTTGAAGTCATAAAAATAGTTGCAATATCTTCTAAACAGTTCAACATATCAGCACAAGATGAGGTAGAGATCATCAACAGCATGTCTTGAAAGCCCCTGAGAACACTGCATACAATGCCACCTATTGTTTTTGACATTTTTGCAAAGAACTTAATTTTGAAACATTCTACAAATGTAGATTTCTCTTTATCTCTACATTAATTGCCTTATGTCAACAATGAAAGTATTTTTATTGTTTTATATATATTTATATAGTTATTTTTTATATAATTTTTGACTTTACATAATATTGTTTGTCCAATATTTTGAAGTGAACAAAAGTTTATTTTTTTACTTATACAAATTTTGACCAAAATCTGGCAAGATGGTCTTGGAGCCGAGCCGCACAGAAATGAAGAAACATAAATATAGAAATACCTCTTGGAAGTTGAGCATGCCTGTGTATAATGTGACTCTTCAGCTATCAAGGTAATCATAAGCTGTGTTACCATTAACTTAACTTTGCATGTTACTCTGGTTAACATGCAGAATAACTTTTTTGTGAGCTTATTCTCACACCTAAACCTCTCCTTGGCAGCCTGTTGGCACACTCTGCTATGCCACTGGCCCTGAACCTTTAAGGTCATGGGTTCAAATCCAGGGTGGCACATGCCCAGACCAGAAGAGATACCAGAAGTGGTGCGAATGTTGCTTCTGTTCCAGACGTTGGATCTTCCGTGTGGGTTTGCCTTGAATCAGAAACGTGTTTTTGTTCGTTCTCATCTGAACTTCTGTTCGTTTTTGAACTTCTGTACTTCTGCACCCTTCGGGGGGTTGGCTTCGTAATCGCTGCTTGCAGCTATATTTTTATAAGATCCCATGAGTCCTGATAAATACAATTTGAACTGAAGTGCTTCTTGTTGGAAAACACTCTTACCAGAATATTTTTCTGTTGGACTTGTGTAGGCCTACGTTTTTACTTTATTTTTTGTTAGAAGTTAAATTATTAAGCAGTGTAGCTTTTTTCCCTTGTATTTTATGTGGTGACCACTGGGAGGTGCTCTGTGAATATTATTTTCTTTTTTGGTTTTCTTCCCTGACGTGATGTATGTTGCAAAGCAAAAATACAAGTTTCACGCAAGTTTGTTGCGTTCTAACAGGATAAGGTTATGTGTCTTTATTTAAAATCAACACTTCTTTTATAAAGAACACTGCTTTCTCACATAATGCAGTGAAGCAGCCCGTGCATTGACTGAATAATCGATTCTCGAGAAATCGATATCAACCAATTCAGCACCACCATCATGGACAGCACCTAGTAACGTCGCACGTAAGAAGGTACAGTATATCTTAAGCAGCCTCCTAAGGTATAGTTCGGGGAACATGCCTAGAAATGGTACACCTTTAGTTAAGGCATTATGGCAAGCCGTTTTGACTTTTATTCCTTCACATATGAATTCTTGATATCAACAATTCAATTTTCACTAGTTAAAATGTTAATTCTTGATATCAGGAATTGGATTTCTACTAGTAACAATAGCTATTTTTGATATCAGCAATTACATTTCCACTAGTAACATATGCTAATCCTTGATATCAGAAATTAAATTTCAACTAGTAAAAACTATAATTCTTGATATCTGTAACTGTATTTTCCCTAGTTAAAAGTCCCCATAGGCTGCCATTCAAATTCAACTGTTGATATCAAGAATTGATATCTTACTAGTTAAAATTCCAATTTCACATATAAGAAATACAATTCTTATTATTAAAAGCCTTTATTTTTGATACCAGTAATCACTTTTTAATTTTTCAGTTAAACAAAATGTGTGTGAACAGCTCAGACCAACTTAGTGGAGGATAGCCTACTTCTCTCATCTTCTGAGGAGAGCAGTTAAGTGACAAGCATATTGATCCATATTGTTATCAAGTTTTAAATTTTTACTTGGGTTTATGCATAAACGTGCACTACCATTACCTTCTATCACCTTTTCCCTTTAACATTGTGAAGGGCTTACAAACTATATTGCCTTTACTTCTATTAGAGGTGCAATAGGTGATTGTCTTCAGAAACATTTTTTGTTGTGCTGGTTGTAAGTCTCTTCACATCCCGATAGCAATCATTAAGTCAAGTGGTCTAAATGTATTTATATATTCTGTGGAAGGTGTAGGACCAAGAAATGTTCGTTCAATCAAAATGTTCGTTCTGAGCATCTTCATTGACTTTGTGCTTTACATAAAAGAAAAGAAAATAATAATAACAATAAAACAGTAGTACTTGTAGTACTTTTACTAACTGTACTATAAATTTTTCTCGGTTAGTGACATATTATGTATTGTAGTAATGTTGTCTCTGGTCGTCTGGACTGTGTGCATTCATGCGTTCAGGGGGCGTGGCTTTGGACGGTGATTTGCAGGGAGGGTGGGACGTTCGCTTTCATTGCTATCAGGCTAAAGTTAGCATTTTCCAAGATGTCCTACTGCACCTTTAAAGGGATAGTTCCACGAATTGTTGAATAAAGTCATTATTTTTGTTTTTTTTGCGTATAAAGGTATTCTCGTAGCTTCGTAAAATGACGGTTGAACCCCTGATGTCACATGGATTATATTACCGATCTCCTTGCTACGTTTCTGGACCTTGATCGTGGTAATTACATTGCTGTCTATGGGAGGGTCAGGGAGCTCTCAGAATTCATCAAAAATATCTTAATTTGTGTTCCGAAGACGAACGGAGGTCTTACGGGTTTAGAACGACATGAGGGTGAGTAATTAATGACAGAATTTTCATTTTTGGGTGAACTAACCCTTTAAAGAGACTCACTGTCTAAACTCATTTGTGTACACAGACAGATGCTGTCAAATCCCACAACCTCATTATCTGCCATTCATTTCATAATGATGGATGTAAAAACATTGTCAGGACATTACACTGAAACTTGGCCTTCATTACATTTATTTTGTGTTATTATTTTGTGTTTTATTTATTATCTATTTATGCATGTTCAGTGTCAATTATAATTTATTAATGTATTCAGCTAATAACTGTTTTTAGAGCCATGTCATTTTAGTACAATTTCCCATGTCACTTAAAAAAAACACACAAATTCTTCTCCAGTTTGCTTTATGTAAACCCTAGTAGATGCTACAAATTATTTACATTTACATTTAGCAGACGCTTTTATCCAAAGCGACTTACAAATGAGGACAATAAAAGCTGTCAAAACTAACAAAAGAGCAACAATATATAAGTATTACAGAGCAAATATTATAATATTAGTACTATGTTAATGAAAATAACTATTATTAAAAAGGTTCATAACACTTTTAAATTTCGACATAACACATTTATAGCACATAAAGCATGGTTCATTATGGAAACTTTTGAATTTAGTATGAAACAGTCATCCGTTTTATTCTCTTATTCTCTAATGTCATTTTTGCAACCGTCATTTCTTTTGAATGCAGTATTTGATATATTTAGTCAAAATAACAGTGTGTTTGACATGTTTGTAATGTTTAAGAGAAAATTATTAAAATTGCAGAATTAACTTTGTGATGTATGACTGTTTATTGCTGGATATTGTTAGTAGACAAATAAGTAAATCTGTGAGAAGGTGAAACTTGTATTTTTTTCTCAAAATATCCACAAGCAAAATGTGTCCTTAGTTGAAAAAACACCCAGTGTACACTGTTAAAAAAAAGAAATCAGTGAAATTTTCAGAAAAATTGGCCGGAACTTTACCATAAAATATTGTAGCAACTTTTTAGGTTTTGTAGCCTTACATTTACAGTAAAAAACATTTTTCATTAACTGAAATAATGTTCATATACCAAAATGACTAAAATCTGTCACACAACAATAATATTGTTGATTGTTTAGTATTTTTCCCTAATAAAATTGTTTTGTGTATGGATCTTTGTTTTATACATTCATTCTGGACTGGGCGTTGTGTCACTTAATCAACCTTTAAATGTGACCATGGACCACAAAACCAGTCATAAGAGTCAATTTTTGGAAATTTAGATTTATACAGCACATGAAAGCTGAACAAATAAGCTTTCCATTGATATATGGTTTGTTAGGATATGGCAATATTTTGGCCAAGATACAGCTATTTGAAAATCTGTAATCGGAGAGTGCAAAAAAATCTACATATTGAGAAAATCGCCTTTAAAGTTGTCCAAATGAAGTTCTTAGCATGTTATATTACTAATCAAAAATTAAGTTTTGATATATTTATGGTAGGAAATGTACAAAATATCTTCATGGAACATGATCTTTACATAATACCTTAATGATGTTTGGCATAAAAGAAAAATTGATAATATTGACCCATGCAGTGTATTTTTGGCTATTACTACAAATATACCCGTACTACTTATGACTGGTTTTGTGGTCCAGGGTCACAAACTAGCATTTATGTTGATCTTGGTCTAGAACTTATTGTCATTTTGTCATTTTCAGCTCTTTCCAGAATGCAGCTGCTCGCTCAGGTGTTTCAAGAGGAGACCTGCCATTATGTGGATCCTAGACAGAGAAATTGATTCTCTGTCTCAACGAGTCTGCAGTCAGTTGCAAGAAGCCCTTTGTCACACACTTTTCATTATAACTAAGGGATTTCCTGATTCCTTACTGTTGGGTCTTGAATGTTCCAAGATACCCAAAGACTCCATAAGCTGCAGCTGATGAGGAAATCTAAAGTGCTACAAATCTGTGACTGAAAATCCAGTACTTCATTTAATGTGTTGAAGAAACCATAATGAAACTCATGAAGTCTGGTGAAGAAATGTTTGCCTGCACTTTCAACTGGATTAACCTGCACTTCACTTTGTACGAACATGATTAAGTTAAGATTTATCGTATCCATTGCTGCTGTTGTCGCTTTGAGCGTTAAACTTTGTTTCAGTGCGTGTGCTCGTGCTGAATATGAGGTAAATGGAGAATGCTGCCCCATGTGTGCACCAGGTACAGTATACATTGTGTAATGTTGGGTTCTGCCTGAAAAACTGTTTGAATCAGTGACAAACACTTAAAGATTTTTCAGCTTTTATTAAGCCAAAAAAATGTTTTCCAAGTTACAATTTTCGATTTTCCATCATAAAAACCAGCTCTTAGAAAATGTACATTTTGTGTAAAGTAAAATGTTTTGTTTGGCTATAATCAAATGTCTGCATGTAAAAAATGGAAATGACTTTCAGTTGGGAAAGTGAGGTCATATGCTTATTTGAGAAGAAAGTCATCAGTTTATACGAATATTTGATTCTGATGACACTGAGGAGGTCACAATCTTATGACAGAGCACAACATTTCACTAGAGTGACTCAAGAGAATTAATGTTTTTCATATTTTACATTTGCAGGAAACCATGTTTATTGGGATTGCTCTATAGATACCAGCACAACTTGTGTTCCATGTCCTGCTTCAACTTATTCAGACGAACCCAGTAGTTCATCAAAATGCTTTTCTTGCTCTGTGTGTGAGCAAGGTGAGTAGGTTCCACAAAATGAAGATTTGGAATAAAGAAGAGATTTCTAGTACATTTATTGAAATTAGAATGTGTGTTATATTTGCACAGGAAAAGGACTAAGAGTAAAGAGAACCTGCACACGCTCTGCAGATACTGTTTGTGAGCCACTAGATGGATTCTATTGCATTGAGCGAAATAAAGAAAGCTGTAGATTCACTGTGAGACATTCTGAATGTAGCCCTGGACAATATATCATACAAGCAGGTAAATGATAAAAATCTATGATATAAATGGACAGTGCATGAAACACTTTTTACATACTGACAAACTGACATAATGTTGACTGTCTCTGCAGGTACTAGCTCCATTGATACTGTATGTGCTGACTGTACAGGTGACACATATTCAGATGGATCGTTCTCATCCTGTTTACCACACACAAAGTAAGTGCTCACTTATGCTGTTTAAGAGTGCTGTTAGTCATCATTTTTCATCTTATCCTGGTTTTCATTAACAGATGTGAGGACATGGGACTTACTGAAACAAATCAAGGAATATATTCTTCTGACACTGAATGTGGAAATCCCCATACTGCTGTAGCAATCATTGCTCTTAGCATTGCAGTTACTTTAATATTAAGCGTTTTTGCAGTTATACTTATTCTGAAAAAGAAACAATCTCAAAATTCTGGTAAGCATTATTTAATTTGATAAAAATCTTTTTTCTTTTTTTTATCTTTTTTTTCTAGTATGAGATCTAGTTGTTTTTCCTATAAAAGATTTAACCATATTAAATAATATACAACTGATTTTTTTCTGTTAGCATGGTTGGGCAACTGGGTCTCTTTTTTAACAATTATTCGTATACACTTTATATATTGCTGCAATTAGCAAAAATATAGTGATGCAGTGAGGATTATATTATTAGTTAAATTACTAATAATTTTATCTTGTTTCTGTTCACACAGGTATAAATTAAGGTATAATTACAGAAAATTATTGAAAACTTTTTTCACATTAAAGATAAAGAAATAAAACAAATATTTACCAAGTTTTAAATAACAAAATGTGACTATTTGTTTTTGTTGAAAGGAAACAGAAAAGTATTTAAATACTTTTAAAGACATATCCATGTCAGCTAATGTACAAGATGAGAAACTTCAATGGCATAATATTAGATTTATTTATGAAAAAATATTTTGACTTTGAGATAGCAATGCATAACATTATTTGTGTTTATACAAGTTGAAAAATAATGCATTCCTTCATTGTGTTTTCAGTTGTTGCTGGCCGAAAAAATATTGAGGCAGACAGACTGGAAGAACAACAACAGTTTCGACTCGATCCACATGAAGGAGTTTTCATGTCTGATGTCCAGCAGCTACCCCAAGAAAAACCCCTTGAAACAAACTGAGGGGCACTTAGGATTTTCTTATGAAGTATTGTGTGTTCCAAGCCTCAAAAAAGAAAAAATGTAGCAGCAATATGAATATGAGCTAACATAACCATATTACAAAACTGTATATTGTATATCTGCATTATTCACTTTCTAAAACACTTTTTTAAAGAAACAGTATGTTAAATTTGTTTTGTTTCAATAAATATTTTTATAGATTTGTTAAATTTATTCATTTGTCGCAAATAATATTAAAGCAGGCTCTTTTTAATAACACAAAGTAAGTGCTCTCTTACAATTTATTTAGTATACTTCAGTGATGACATATAACCTTTCAAAGCAGTTTCAGCACTCTATATCATTTAATTTTGTTTTTTTATATTATTTTATTTTTTACTGAATGTTAATTATTTGTATTTACATATTAGTTGGACGGCCCACTATGAAAATTTCAATGAATCGATTAAGCTAAATACAATGTTAACAGGAAACATCTCTTTCAGACAATAGAGGGCACTCTTCATCTACAGAGACAATCGTTAGTTTCGATTTTCCGTGATCGCAATCCCCATTAAAAACACATAAGAACATTATTGTGAACTGGCAGTAAACTGGGCTTGGTCTATCCGACGCCATATTAGGAATACAAACTGAAACAGCGCCGCTATATTTTAAGACAACCAACGTCTGTGACTAATGTTTTGTGAAAGTAGAAGAAGTGATATTAGCCCTGTATCTGCTGGTAAGTAGTTTTAAAGTTTTGTTATTGAGGAAAACGCGTGACCTGCAAGTTTAAAGTCCAAATTAGCATATCACGAGACGTGTTAGAAATACAAGCTGAAAAATATCGACCAATATAGGTTATAGCCTATAACTGTGTTCATTTTGTCTTTGAATCACTATACTATTATAGCCTATGATCGTACTATTTCTTGATGTCCTTCATTTTGATTTATTTCTAAAGTGAAAGTGATTTTACCCATCTCCTCCACCCACGTAGATTCCAGTTAATCCAGTTCAGCTGTTTTCATGCAAGAAATCTTACATGATTATATTTTACCGACTGTTGCATAGCTACTTAATAAACTGGTGTTTCTTCAACTCTGAGCACTTTGTATCTAAATGAACAGTTTTTATGTTTTTTCATATACAGTCAAACCAAAAATTATTCAGACACCACATAAAATTTTTGATGTTTTTTTTACTAGTGTGTGCATTATGTAAGTGAGGATAGCAAAATAAAGTGAACTGTGACATATTATGCCCAAAAATTCTTCAAACAGTTACAGTGGACGAACAGTAAAATTGATAAAAATTTGGGACCAAAAAATATTCAGACACTTTGACCTGTGTTTTTTCCTTAATTGATAATGCAAACTTTTTACACCACAGACTGAACAAAATTAAGCATTGCTTGGTAATTGGTTGACCTATTACTGTATCTAATTGTGTACTTAAATTTAACAGCTGAATAATTTTTGGTTGATTGTAATCCATTACATACCTTTCTATCAAAGTTATCTGACATTATCAAGATGAATTTGTTCTGACACAGTTTAACTCTGAGTTCTTGTCATTTTATTACCATTTTCCAAACTATAGCGAATAAACTGTGATAATTTGTGAAATGTTGAAGGTGTCTGAATAAATTTTGGTTTGACTATTTTATTATTATTATTTTATTTTATTTTATTTTTTTTACATTGGTCTCACACTATGAAAAAGATGATTACTGTCAAAAAAAAAATCCTTTGATTTTCTGGAGCTCAACCATCCAACTACACTTTCAACAGGTACTTGATACCCTCCTTAAAATGTGTATAAATTTTAACCTTCAAATTGTAACTGGTTTCCTAACAATTATGCATTTTCATTTTTCAGTTTAACAAAACGTGTGAACAGCTCTGACCAGCTTAGTTGAGGATAGCCTACTTCGCTTCTGTTCTGAGGAGAGCAGGTAAGTGACAAGCATATTAATCCATATTGTTATCAAGTTTTAATTTTTACTTGGATTTATGCGTAAACATGCACTACCATTACCTTCTATCACCTTTTTCTTTTAACATTGTGAAGGGCTCACAAACTGTATTGCTTTTGCTTCTATGAAAGAGACTCACTGTCTAAATTAATTTATGTACACAGACAGATGCTGTCAAATCCCACAACCTCATCATCTGCAGAGAGAAACTGCCATTCAGTTACACCAAAACACATAATGATGGATGTAAAAACACTGTCAAGACATTTTACACTGGAACTTGGCCTTCATTACATTTATTTTGTGTTATTATTTTGTTTTATTTTTTGATCTGTTTATTCTTGTTCAGTGTCAATTATCATTTATTAATGTATTCACATTCAGCTAATAACTGTTTTCGAGCAATGTAATTTTAAGTACAGTTTCCCATGTCAATTAAAAAATAAAAGTACACAAATTCTCAAAGTCCAGTTTGCTTTATATAAACCCTAATAGATGCTACAAAGTATTGTAGAGTAATATAATATAAGTAATATATTAATGAAAATAAACTATTATTAAAAAAGGTTCTTTATAAGACTATTAAGTTTCTATACTTTCATTGCACGTATGCATGATTCATTATGGAAACATAGTCATCCATTTTATTCTCCAAAATAATGTCATTTTTTCCAACTATTTCTGTTGTAGAATGCAATATGCATTTGATATATTTAGTAAAAATGACAGTGTGTTTAAAATGTTTGTAATGTTTTAGAGAAAATTATTAAAATTACAGAATTACCTTGTGATGTATGACTGTTTATTGTTGGACATTGTTAGTAGACAAATAAGTAAATCTGTGAGAGGGTGAAACTAGTATTTTTCCTGAATATCCACAAGCAAAATGTGTCATTAGTTGAAGAAACATCTAAATGTACACTGTTTAAAAAAGGGTGACATTTTCTGAAAAATCTGCAGTTGGCAGAATTTGACCATAAAATATTGTAGCAACATTTTAAGTTTTATAACCTTTACAGTTTTATAAAATGTACAGTACAAACATTTTTTCATCAACTGAAATAATGTTCATATACCAAATTACTAAAATCGGTCACACAAATACAAAACACTATCATGGTTACACACAACACTAAAATAATGCAGTAAACATTAATTTAACATAAGATGTAACATACAACTCTATAATGTGCTTAACTGATGAGAAATAACTATGAAGCAGTTATTTCAATTAAAAAAATCAAATGTTGGCTGACAAACAGAATTCAGGGAATTTTTTTTTAATGTATTATAGGATGACCTATTCTTTTACACTCCTCAGAACTGTACATTTAGCAGTATTTTACTGTAAAATTACAAAATGAAATCCCGTTAGATCTATTAACAGTTTTTCACCATATACAGTAAGGAAACTTACCATTAAACAATTAACAGGTTTTTATAGTATCATTTACAGCCTTTTGCTGCTGAAATTTGTAATAATTTTCTACAGTGTATAAACAAGGAGGTTTACAATGAGCTGATTCTTTTTCTGCTTTTTCTGTTTCAGTTTGTTTTCCAAAGAATGCATATGTCTGCAAGAAGCTTGTGGAAACACGACCTGTACAAGAACTGAGTCTTGAAGAATCTTGAACTACTGTCGCCTTTTCTCTGTTTTCTACGAAATCCCTCCATATTGTTTACTGTTAAGGCACACATCAACCAACATCACAGCATGAGAAGCTTCTGAAGGTTGTGCTGTAAACAGCACAGTACTAATGACATGCAAGAAATGTTACATTGACTGAATAGATCTAGACTGTGACTATGTTCGCTTTAAGGATCATTATTCTTATTACACTTATTGTTCCTCTTAACTATAAACTTTGTTCTTGTCAGTGTGCCCGTGCTGAATATGAGATACACAAGCAATGCTGCCCAATGTGTGCCCCTGGTAAGACTGCAAGTTATAACATATAATGCTTAACTTTATTAATATATGTTTTCATCTTTATGTGTTTATTTATTTGTTTATTTATTTACAGTATTAGAAGTTTGTTGTTGTCTGCTTTATTCTGCCATAAATCATTTGTTTATATATATATATATATATATATATATATATATACAGTATCTCAC